GTTTTTGCGCATAGATTTCTTGTATAGTGATTGTGCTTTTCTTGTTAAAAGTAGTTCCTTATTGTTAAAGCGGGTTTGTTTTAAAGCTGCTGCGTTGCGTGTTTCGCGTCCAGCAGACTTTTTGTGTAAACAGTTTTAGGTGGTTGCAGCGAAGATCGCGTGTGTAGCGCAGATCGTTTAGCGGAGCTGATAGGAGTGATTCTCGCGTCTGCAACAGGGTTATTCTTGGAGCAGTTTTTCGGTTCACCTCTGTGTAATTGTTTTACTGCGAAACGTCCCGTGTTTTCCATAAGGTTCCACTTTGTCCTTTTTTTTTTTTAACGGTTTTTCAGGTTAAAAAGGGTTTTTTTTTCTGTGTGTATTAGGAAAGTTTTTTTCTTTACACAAATTTCCTAAAGGTCAGTGTTAGCAGGTTTCCGGCCAACCAGTGACCCCTAAGTAACATCCAAGAACCCCTCCTTTTGGTTTGACTTGTGTTAGCTACTGTGTGCAGGGAGAGAAAAGCCACTTTCATCATTGTGCGGTGTGGCCTGCCAAACACAGTGGGTGATGAGAACCACATAAATTGCGCTGTGCGAGTGGGCGGTGCAGGGAAGCGTAACGCTTAGCCTGGTTACCACAAACACTTCGGGTGGTCAGGATCACATAAATTGCGCTGTGGGAGTGGAGGTGTGCTCTCAGTTCTGACTTGATGCCGGCCACTTGATGCGCTTCGGGGTGTGTGATTGATAAGAGTCACCTAAATATACGCTGTGCTGGGAAAGTGGTGGAATCAGGCCTCTCGGTAGGATCCCACCGAGTGCTCCAGGGGTAAACAGGTACCCGGATGCGGGATATATACCAGTGACTAGTCACGATGGGCAGTAGTCAGTCTATGAAGAGAAGGGGAACCATCCCTCTTCAGGGTAAGGACAGCTGCACAACTGATGAAGGTGAGTTTGGGGGGGGAAGTCTACAGAACCCCTCAAAAGATGGAATAAATGGTCGAACGGGGTACCAGATGGGTTATTCCCCGGGAAGGTACATTTGACGCATGGAGGGTGGGAAAAAAATTCATCTCTGAATTTGAACCACGGATGCAGGCGTCAGAACTAGAGATCGCACAGCTATGGCTTCACAGGTCAATCCGATTAGGGAAGCAGGGCATACATAAACTGGTGTCTGTCCGGAAGAACCAGGTGATGTATACCTGGCCTCCAGAGGGAATAAAACAGGAGGATCCAGTGGGTGTCAGAGGTGGAGGAAGCTCTTTTCAGGGCTGACTTTACTAAGGCAGGCAGGATCAGGGTCCTGCTGGGGTTCCCGAACAACCAACAGTGGCTGAGATAAGTATAACGGCACCTGTCTCTTCTGTTAGTGACGTCACTCTTGACGTACCTTTTCGTGTCTTCTGTATCTTTGCCTCAGCCTCTCTCCTTCTCCCTGCTTCACCCCAGCTCCTTCTGTTTCCAACTACGAAGTCTTATCAACAACCGATTTGCAGACTATCTGCGAATCAAGGGGAATAGACACCCGGTTTTAAGAGACAGGGCGGATTGCATCAAAGCACTATGAGCCGCTGATCAACCCCTGCCCCCATCTATACCCTGATCTGTTAGGGACCTCAAACCTGAAGGTGCAGTAAGCGAGGTGGTTAATCTAAGCCCACCGATGAAGCTGGGTCAGCCCTTGCACTCTTCCCGGACCGAGGCCTATCCAGTCAGGGTGCAGCAATTTGAAGGTCCTCCAATGCACAGGGGGAACAGACTTTAGGGGAACGGGTAGTTTGGCATGTCCCCTTCACCCCGGCAGAGAACCGCACTATTCTGGCTGAGCTCCCGGACTATCGAGTCAATCCGAGAGGATTTGCTCGAATGTTTGGACAAAACCAGTTCAGCTATGGTATGAGCGGGTCAGATTGTGCGCAGATCCTGCAGGCTAAGGTGGGCATGGAAGTGGCAGTACAGTGATTGCAGGGTGCTCTTATAACCACCCATCATGAGGAGATGACTTCAGGGGGCAAAGAGTTTTGTGTACAGCTAAAGGCAAAGCTTCCACAAAATGTATGGTGCTACCTCTACTACGGACATGATGAAGCTCACCCAGGGTCCTAATGATGAGGAAAGCACCTGCTTCTGGCGCCATCTCAAGCAGGACAGCACTGGTATGCGGATCTGGAAGTTGGACCTGATGCTTCAACTGAAGGGGTAAAAGTGACCGCGACGCACATTCTGTTGCGGGCAAATTTTGGAAGGCATCAATATCAAAATTCGGGAAAGGCTGGTTCTGGCCCGACCCGAATATAATGAGATGTCTATCCCTGCTATCCTTTCCACTCTTGCGGCAATAGAGAGGGAAATGGATAGAAGAAAACAGGACAAGGCCAAAGTTCTTATGTCCCAGACCCCACACGAAAAACTAAGGGATCTGGGTCACAGGAAGGATAGGCCCCAACCCAGGTGCTTCCAGTGCCACCAAACGGGGCACATGAGGAGGAGGAGCTGTCCCCAATTACCCTAAAGGTCGGTGGCAGTTCATTCCTGATGAGTCCTCCGCCCCTGTGACCAGGTAAGTAACTCCTATGAATTCTCATAGGAAGTTGACAAATCGGTGTTGGCCCAGGTCCATCTTTTTCTAGAGGAATTAAAAAATCACCCCCCTTGCCTCACCGACACTTAGTGCAGCAAGAACGGTCTTGCGATAAACAGGACATCCAAGGCAAGGTACCCCTCTCAGGGGAAAGCCCTCTAACCCCCTACTAACCTCACCATCAAACGATGCACTATTCTTAACCCAGCTTCTCTTCTTCCTGTGTTGGAAGATGAGAAGCGGGGGGGGGGAGGACAGCAACGACAGTGCTGAATTTTGCAACACGACTAACAATACTAACACCTCTTCTGCTAACATGTCTTCTTTGTCCACTACTGAAACCTCTCTTCCAAGGACACGACTGCATTTTTCTTTGGTGGAACTGGAGTCAGCGGCGTCACACCCTGTATCATCCCGAGAGTAGCGGTAAGGTTGAACGTTTTTCTTAACGAATCCTTAAAAACAGGATCTCCAACATCATGGCTTGATATCCAAAAACCTTGGCCTGAGTGTCCCCCCATTGCCCTCTATTCTATCCGGAATGCCCCTTGGCAACCACATGGGTTGTCACCCTACGAGGTGTTGTTGGGGGGACTCCAAAACAGGGTTGTACTTCTCCTCAACAGTTGTCGTCTTTGCATTCACAGCTTGCAGGTTACGTGCCATCTCTGCAACGGGAGCTGCAGAAGATACACCATCGTGTTTGTAAATCGCTCCCGGATCCAAATGCAATAATGGGTGTTCTTTCTATTGAGCCAGGTGATTGGGTCGCCCTAAAGAAACATCAAAGAACCGGACTCGAGCCACGGTTCACCGGACCATACCAAGTCCAGCTGACGACACCTACCTCACTCAAGCTCGACGGGGACGAGACAACTTGGGGTGCACGCAAGCCACTGCAAGAAGCTTTTCAGCTACACCAGATGAATGAGGGGTGTCATTTTTCTTTTTGTTTGTATGTCTTACATGTGTGTGAACGGAGGAAAAGATGGCAGGATACCCCAACCTTTTATTTAAAATGCATCTGCGTGTAGCCAGAACGCCAACAAAACCAACTGTTGGGTATGCTCTAAGCCCCCACCAATCATCACTGTCCGCATTGGCCGCTGTTCATGCCCTATATGACATCCGTGTCGGCATGAAAAAGCAAGGGACCCCTAGTCAGCCCCCACGTAGACATTTGTCGGTAGAACTTAATGACACATTTTTAGCAGGTAACATCAGGTTTAGCACCAATATTAGCTCTAGCTCCTGTAGGGCCCTCACCAGTCCATTATGGCTAACTGGACAGCTAGGCAGCCCTCAGGTGTGCTTTAAACATCAGCTTTTGGCACAGGTAAACAAGTTTGTTGGGACTACCACCTGCGAGGGAGGTATAACTGTCAATCTGACTAACCAGACTTCCCTTCTGAGTAACCACACTGACTGACCAGACCACATTTGTTGGAAGGACGGATGTGATGTGCAGTAGACTGAGGGAGCAATCCCCAGTCTGTGCAACTGTTGCTCAGTGCCAGAGGCCGAACAAGGAACTTCTCTTGCTCTGCTCTGAAAGGTCCCATACTATTTTTCTGTGTGGTTCGGCAGCCTGTAGAACATTTCCCAGAACGCGAAAGGTTCATGTGCCCTCATAAAGCTAGTTCCCGCATCCTATGTAGTGATGGATCATGAAGAGTTGATGGTCCACAAGGAAGGTAAGGATGGCAGGGAGAGTTCGCAGGGAGCTGTTCTCTGAGGGCGACCAAGCATGGGCTTGGTTCCCTCATGGACAGGTTGGGGAATAGAACTTATGAACCGCCTGAAACATTTTTCTGTCATCGTGGATAGTATGTTTTTAATGACACCGTAAGTGGCTGTCAGAGAAATTGCCCAAGAACAACGGCAGATGGGAATTTTAGTGCTTCAGGAGAAGATGGCCCTTGATTACCTTTTAGCCCCCAAAGGGGGGTTCTGTGAGTTCATCGGAGAGGATTGTTGTACTTGGATAGAAGACACCGATGACAGGTCCAGGCCCATATGGACCAAAGTTTAGTGAACTACAGGGAAAAGCTGGAGCTATAGCTAGTGAGGGTTGGAATCCATTCAAGGGTTTTGGGAGGATTGGGAGATTCCTGTTCTCCATGGGATCTTGGGTTGAAGGAAGTGGGAGTGTAATATCCTGATGCTTCTATTTTTCCTCTGCCTCTTATATGCCGCGGTGAGATGTTCCTGTTGCTCATCGACCGTGTAAGCCAAGCTCGGGCAGACGACCACATCTCCATGCCCGCTCCTGGGAACCACTCCAACCACTGATCGGAGGAAGACCTCACCAAACCAGCCACCTTCTCTGCAGATTTATGTCCTGGCTTCCCTCTAATTTATCTCCCTGAAGACCACATTCTCCAAGACCTCCAAGCAAGCTTGGGATCACAAGCCTTATTCATACCACAAAGTCTGTTGTGTTGTATTTGCAAGAGCCTTCCTGTAGTAAAGGTTCCAACGCTCTTGAGGATCATTGCTTCAAGCAAGCCTGTTTGCGTCGACATGGGGGGTGGTGGGGGGTCTTGTTGTTTCAGGTACCCTTGGAGCTTTATTCTCAGGGACAACTACAGGAACTCTGGTCTAAGACTAACTCTTTGAGGTTTTGAGACTACACCCATCAAGCTGAAGAAGATCAAGAAGGGACAACGAGGAGAATATGATAAAACAGGAGGGAATGTCATGGAAATTTTGTATTGTTGTAGAACTTTAATTGTGTCATAATATGAGTGTTATTCATATGTCTCTCGTGTGGCTTAATTAAAAGCTCTGAAGGCTGCAATTGGGCCATGCGCATGTACAATGTATGTATTACAGTACTCAGCTCGGTAATGGATGAGATGGCGGATCTGCGCTTATAGACCGGCGTGTATACCACCACGGCATTCGATGCGAATGCTGCTGGCGGTAGGCCGTGGGCCGGTATCCACATATCAGCAGCATAGTACCACATGGACTCCGTGCCGCAAGGCGCCAAGCAGTACGAACTCCACGTGTAGGCTTATGCATATCTTACAACCCATTACCAACCTGAACTGTATCTGGATGGATGTGTTTTAATAAAGATCATATATCAGGCCCATCCAGGTACAGACTGGTGTTCCTAGGGATGCTTGTACAAAGAGTTTGCATACCAATAGGAGCTACTAGGACAGGAAGTATGATGCTCTCCATAGAGGGCTCGGGGGGGGGGAAGGGGAGGGGAGGAAGTCTGCTGACCTCAGAGGGCTCATGGGGGAGGACCAGTGATAGATAATAGGAAAGGCTATACTCAATCGGAATGTATATCCTGTGTATAGGCACTCCCATTGCATTGTTCGGTGGGAGGGGATTGACCTTATTCATGTGGGGGGGGGGGGGGGGTGTGTGTTTGTAATAAAACCGGGGCTGAGTCCTGAAGCCAGTCTCTATGTGAATTCCAACATCATCCTGAAAGTGTCGTGTGATCATTTCCAGGTATAGGGAGCAGCTCCAATCACCCCACATCTCAACAAGAAGCTAAAGCAGTTGGAGAGGGCAGGATTGTGTAGTTTAGCTGCAGTCGACCGTGGTAAGCGAGATTCGCACAGCTTTATGGGGGATTTCTGCGCATCCAACTGCGAGTACTCACGGTGGTAAGGAGATGAAATTCGTTTAAAGCGAATTTCCAAGACACAATACAAATTAATACCAGGAGGATTTGAGAGGGCCCTGCTCGTTAGAGCTTACAATCTAAGAGGGAGGGGATTATCACAGTGATGTTGGTACAGGACCCTGAGCTACAGCATATATTATTTTCTACCATTACAAATTTTGTTTTTTTTAATGCCCTCTTACGCTGGTGGCCGTAGGATGAGAATGTTCCTTTGTATTATTTGGCTAGTGTGAGAAAGAACCACCTTTTACATTGGTGGGTTAGTAAAAGGAGGAATGGTACCTTATGGTTGTGGTCAGTAGAGGAAGAAGAAACCCTTCTTCTGTTGGTGGTCAGAATGAGGATAAATTGCATTAGTGGACTGTGAAAGGAAGAATGCTCCCTTATGTTGGTGATCAGTAGGATGAAGAAAGCTATACCTTACGTTGGCGGTTAGTGTGGGAGGAAGAATGCCCACTTTTACCAACTGACTGTCCCCCTCAGTACAATAACTATGACGCAGTTGCCAGGAGGAAGATCTATCCACTGTGGTCAAAATTGGCAGCTAAAGGATTACTATGCAGAGCAAATTACTCCCCCTGGATCCAAATGTCACTTCCTTTGTTGGTAAGATTATCAACAACTTTTCTGCAGCAGGGGTGGACTGATCATTTGGAAACTCGGGCACTGCCCCAGTAGCCGGGGTTCAGTAGGGGGCCCCTTGAGATGCCCCTGGTACCTTTTCCATAGGCTTTTTTGAGTTTGGGCAAGGACATCAGGGGCCCCATTGATCCCCTATTGCCCGAGGGCCCCCATGGGGGGAGATGTATTGTCAGTCCACCCCTTGCTACGCTATCTATCTGTGCCACTGCCAGGGAAGAAGATGCTCTGCGTCCTTATGAAGCTGGTAAGATGTATCATTGTACATAGTTCTCTGTGGGTAGTTGCTGTGCAGGGTTAAAAAAAAAAAAAAAACAGCAGCATCTTTCCTTTAGTACTAATTGGCCACTGATATTTCACGTGTGAACTAACGTACCAGAGACACATGAAACTACTACTGCATAAAGCTGCCATGACAGGGACAGGACAAGACAAACAACTCACCCCACCTGTATCATGAGGAAATTCCTGTGATACTTTAGTGCCATTTTCTTTCCATCTTAAGTCAATTAAAAAACATTCAAACCAGAACATGAAACTAAACCTAATAACATTTGTTTTTTTTTGCCCTGTTCGCACATAATGAAAGTACATGCACTTTTACTTGGCTGAGTTTCTTTCCCATTTTATTTTATAAATACACCCCCTAGAATACAAGGCATGTATTTTAATACAAATGAATTAAAGTGTTACTATATACCCTGGATCCCACATTCACTATATCTGGTCTCTCACAGTACATACAACATGGATATGCAATTATTTTAATAAATATAAACTGCAAAACACCTTTTCTCATTAGCAGTATATAACAGTCTTGTGACTTCTATCCCGTATCCCAGCTGAGCACTGGCCTAATCATTGTTGGAGGAGTTTTCATTTTGCTCTAACTGTCCTATGAGGCTGCATTAGCGCCCTTGACCCTCTGTCTTGGACAGTACTGATTGGCATTGCGCTGATCACATGTACCCTCCCAAAGAAAAGAAAAAAACCTCTCTAGCCATACACACTAAACTGAGCATGTGCAGAGTGCCTCCTAGAGCTCTGTATTATCAGCAGATGGTATTGAGACAGTAGAAAAGGGGGAGGATCAGAGAAGACAGGATCAAGCAGCCTTTTGATCCAGCCTTTAATTCTTTAGGATTCCACAGTGAGTATAACAAGCATCTGTAACTAACATATCCAGGACTGATTTTACTGTTGTGGGTTTTAGTAACACTTTAATATTTATCAGAAGATACAGTTGTGTAATGACTGCAGGACATTTCTAATGAGCGAGGAGACTAGAATCTAAATATACACAGAGCATAGGCAGGTATTTCCATTGAAAAAATTAGGAGATTGCTGAAGAAAAAGCAGTGTAAAAAATTGAGCAGTTTGCAGGGACAGTTTTAAGGGACACTTCTAAACGATGGAAGCTGATGCTGGGAAATATGTAGGTTAAAAAATGTACTGCTGTTTGCATAAAGGTGTGTTTATGCGTGTTTATGTGCGTTTGTGTTTAGAAGCATTTTTTTAAAGATAAACACAGGAGAACCTCCCAAATGCCCAGAATGCACTGAAAAAAAGTCGGTAAATTATTTAACTTGTTTCAAGGGTGGGATAGGTGTCTGGTTGGAGGAGAGAGTCATTAAGGCCACCTGGCCAGGGGGTCTTCATGAGGAATTTGAGGTGTGAGATGGTCATTAATATATCTTTGTTTCCAAGGGTGGGAGAGGTCTGAAGTGTGCATTGGTCATTAAAATGTGTGACAAGCTTGGTAAGGAACATCCTGTGTTTAGTGTTTTGTCCATCCAAGTACCTTGAAAACGCTTTGCATGCATTTTGCATGATGAAAAAAGGCTCTGGACAGCATTGGGAACTGGAAGAGTTAAAAAAAAAAATTTCAGACGCAAGCGCTTATAAACTCGCATTTGCCGTGTTTACCCACGTTTACAAGCGTTTTGCATTTGAAACACTGAATAAAATCGACTGCTCTGAATGCAAGTTTTCAAGAATTCAAAAAAATGACTGTAAACTCAAATGCCAGTGTAATCGGGACTGTAATGAAGAGTGTGTTACATGGACACATAGGGAAAACATTAGGGGTTGAGTTCAGAGGCTGCTCCTACAATGTGAGTTTATCAGTTGCAGTGTAATGAGCCCTTATTCGGGAAGGCAGCAAATTGTGAGGTAGTCTAGGCGCACCACTGTTTTTGCCATTTTCTCATTTTTTTTTTCTGCTAATGCAGTGGACACTGTATTGTTAGCTGACCAAAAGGGAAAGGATCACAGCTCACCTGACCTGGTGGTGTCTGGGCATCCAATATGTTACAGTCTGCATGAGCAATTGTCATGCTTTTCCGTGCGCCTTGCTGGGAGGATCAAGAAACAGCGGCACGGTGAACGTGGTGGATTTCTGTCAGCAACAAGTGAATGCCTGTCTGGAATAATGTTCCCTTGATCAGTTCCATCATTACTGATGAATGTATTCTTGAGAGCGGGAGGAAAGCCTCCATGTTGTGTTACAGCGTATTGGATCTTATTATTTCTCTGTGACCTATTACTTGTTTATTATTGCTCTGTGTCTAAGCTGAGCTCTTCTCTTCACCATAACCTTGTGATATACTCCTCCCCCCAGTGCTCTCCTTGTAATCATTCCACTGTATCCTGTCTTCCTGAATGCATCTTCCAGTCGAGGCTACAACATTAAACGTTTTTTCAAACTATGAATATTCGCCATTTTAAATGGAACATTCAAATGGGTTTCCTCATCTGATTTTTCTAACATGTATGTTTATTCATTGAGTTAAAACTATCTGACCCAATGCAAGGAGAGATAGATCAACACCACATGTTGTAGTTGTATACATGGGGCGGGGGGGAGATAAGGTTTATCGTCCTGTGTCGAGTCAGAAATACTCCCGTTGTCAGAATACAAGAGCCATCACCTTGAAAGTGGGTGGCTGCACTTATTTGGTCCCCATAATCCAAACCAAAAGAGACAGGAGCAGGCTTAAAAGAGAAAGGAAAGGGCCAACCCAAGCAGATATTGACCATATGGAGAAAATGAATTCAGTATGAGAGAGGGAAAAATGCGTGCGAAACTATCTAAAGATGAGTGTAAACATATAAGACACACGTAAAATACTGTTCACATTTACCGTCTGAGAGCGCGCTAGCATACACTATGCAGACCACTAGACTACCGGATGTAGACTCATATATGTGGGTGGGAGTGTGTATGCTTTTGAGGATAGTATGAAAGCAACGTAGGAGGCACAGTTATCAAGTTATGTATCCGAACATTCTGCGCCTGAACACAGGATGTAACAATGTTAGAGGTACGCAGGGTTCAAAATCCATGATATAACATCATTAAATACAGAGACAGTCACACTTTGCGTATAGACGTAATGTTTATAGGCTGTGACCTAGGTCCATGAAAGTCACTTGGGTCTGGAGATATCTACTGGACTGTCGAACAGCACAAAAAATTTAAGAGAATGCGA